GTATTCCTATTAGCCCTGTTAGCAGTATCCATTATGACCTGAACAAGTATTGCGCCGTCATAGCATTGTGATGTCATAAGCATTGTGAGGTCACTGGCAGAGTTAACGGTTACTTAAGAAATACAGTTCGCTCTACCACCATGTATAGTGTAATAAAGCACACTTTCGCCCTGAACTATTAAAGTTAAAGCACTCGTCCTCGTGCTTTAACTATAATAGTTCAGGGCGAAAGTGTGCTTTATTACACTATACATGGCGGTAGAGTGAACTGTATTTCTTTTCTAAGATGCCAAATTTAATACTTTCTAAGGATAATTATGAATAATCTAAGGCAGAAAACAAACGACGGTGTCGGTGACCTAAATTAAGAATCCTCGCACAGGGCTAACTGGCACACTGTTCTATTGATGTGTCTGTCCCCCTACGTTAAGACGAACGTTACCAGAAAAAACAAATGATAAACAGTTTGATGACGGTTTACGTTCGGATTAAATATCTTCTTCAAATTATTTTAATGACATCTATGATTAACGTAAACCATATGGGGCAACGTCACATTTCTGCTACCAACGTAACTTTATATCAGTACATCACAGATGAAGCTGAGTAGTCAAGCGACATTCCACTATTGCATTACTGCAAACCAAGAAACGGGATGCAACGGAGTAGTTTACTGTAGGAGGCTGTACGAGGCGATGATAACTGATTTGCATCGTGACGTCGCTTACATTATGATGTAATGCAAAAGTGTTCGATCACGAGGGGGCAGATTAGAATGGCGCAGTGATGCCAATACATTGTGACGTAATGCAAAAAATGCACACTATCGTCTGAAGCATCTTAGAATGTTCTTTAGTTCTACCTGATGATGGGGCCAGAACAAGCCCTGAAACGTTGTACCAAATAATAAAAAGAAGATGAAACCCAGAAAATTCTCTATGTTCATAACAAGTGTTGTTTCAACGGGTCTGCGTTTTGAGAGGATAACAGTGGAAGGACTGGGCATTACGGCCGGGACGGAAGTGGACAGGTTAGGACGTGTGGGCTGACGAGTGTTGTCGACATCATGCCCCCTAGATCTAGACCCTGTTTGAAGTATGGCAAAATACTGCCGCTTTTACGCTGCTGACGAATTTTCCTGCTTCAAAGTTTCTTCAATGGAATTAGGCTCAAGAAATTCTTCTTCAAACCATTCACTTTTAACTTCAAAAACATCAAAGATGCTGCCGAGTTAGGAATCGCCGATGTCAGACATGTTTGTTTACAAACAAAAAGGTCAAGGAGATCATTGTATTCATACGCAGTCAATTGGTCACTTTAATTAGCGGTGCTTAACCCCCTGGGTGCCACAGAGACATATATGTCCTTCCTCTTATACCCTCATTTTGAAGTCCAATAAAATTCTGAATATATCACGCACACAAATATACCTCATAGTTTTTAATTCTGCGGGAAATTCCCTGTTTCTTGATACCATCCACTATTATCTCCGACAAAGCTTAAGTGCTGTAATTGATGTTTCAAAATAGGCTACATCGTAAATGTCGCCATATTTGACACAATACGAAATCACGATTCACAGCGTTATTTGCTGTGTGTTTTGAAATGTGAAAATCGGATAATTACTGGGAGTATTGAATTTCAAAAATTGCATATTAATGATCACTGATATAAGTTTTCCATGAAATCACTAATGACTATTCTGAAACGTTGCCGATGAACTTAGAATCGGTTGGGGTGTTTTTCGAAAATAGACTGACGCGAAAGCCGAAGTGCGCTTTCCGCCATATTGAATAGTGTTTACAAAATCACGTTTCGCGAAGGCCGGTATTGAGACGCCTATAACATCATGTATGTTTCATATCCAGCTGCGACAAATGCATCACTGAATTCCCCATACATTTTTAGAATTAAATTACAAATGGTCTTTGTCACCAATACCAACTGTCTAGAAGATATTTGGTATGAAAACGTTGTGTTCGAAAGACTGTGCTTGTTTGAAATGTAAACAAAGAACAATTCCGAGTTTACACAGTGTAGCATTTTCTGAAAATTTCCGACATCCAGCCGTCTATTCGTTGCTTGCAATAGCCCAATGCCTTTAGAATATGCATGGAAGGAGTATCCTAGCAAGAAATAGCAAATTGAAAATAGATACAATGCAATGATTTGATAATTCATAAGAAATTTGTCACGGTTTCCGTGCAGCATGACGCCATGACTGACACAAAATCACGCAGAACGACAACGATAATTATCAGCATTTCTGGCTTCTTCTTTTACTTACAATGAAAACGATAAAACATAAAACAATACACAGATAGTCAGAATCATTCAGATTACTTACAACTCATATTTATGTACAAACGATCCCTGAATCAAGGGAAGGGTCCTCTCAAAATCCTGTGTATCCTTGTCAGCGAAGCCGCCATTTTGTAAGAAACCGGTCATTGTTAGTGATGTCATACGTCAACATTGTTGTACATATTAGGCAATTTCTTTGAGGTGAAGGTCGGTTGAACAAGAGTAAACACAATCGCCCTATCCTTCCGATTACACTTTCAGTATTATGATGTATATTTTGCGTATTGTTCAGATATTTTTTTCATGAAACAAATTTCAGTAACTACATTTATCCTTGTTCAATATCATATCATACATGGATTATAGGGTATATGTTTTTATATTCTTTGAAAGTTTTTTATTGTTTGAATAATATTTACATAGGAAATTGACACATTTAGTGTAGTACACCATATTTTATACCTTTACACAAGTGTTAGAAGATCCAGCCTAGCCATAACTGCAACATGTACTTTAGTTCCTATGATGTACAATGTTCAATGCATTGGGACTAATATTGCAGTTTCATATGAACATGTTAATGAACAGCGATTTAATTCAATCTTATAAGTAAAACTGATAATATTAATGAAAATGATTTTATGAAATGTATATGCACACATCTTTAAAGGAATTGTCTTGTTCATTGAATTTGTTTGTGTCGTTTATAGACAAAACAATTATACATATATTTGATTGGCCAGGTGCGCGTTTGTCAGAAACGTTTTATGATTCACTATCATTGTTTTTGATCATATAATCAATTCATAATTGATTAAAAGATATTGTGATGACAGGATATCAATCTCTAACTATATTTATACAAAAAATTGTTTAAAAATGTATAAATCCTGTCATGTCTTACATTGGACAAACCTTACATTCATATTCTAATAATTCCATTAAAAAAAGCTATCTTTTTGCATCTTCAGTGAATACTTATGAAGAGAAATAGCTACATAATCATAAGCAAAGAAAATACTTGCCTATTCTAAATAAAATATTCGGGTATTGTGACATATTTTTAGATATATACTAATCAATATGCGAATGTCGTCTTTTTCCGACGTCGCAAAATACATAAAACAAGCAATGACGTCAACTAAAATGTTGTAATGTTTTCGGTAGTTTCATTACATTTGACGATATGGCTAGTACTCTGTTAATAATGATGCAAAATTAGTCAAATTACACCTACACAAACAGGAGAATATGGGAATCTAAGTACTAACTTATATATTGGATAGGGCCATCCAAATCGCTATTACTTGCTTTCTCATGTAGTACATTGTCATCTTTTCTTATAAATTGTGAAACTACCAAAACGTATCTGCTCACATTGGGGAACTTTGAATTGGAATAGTCTGGTTCACGGTGAACAAAACATGACGAAAATATGGCGTTCGAGTTATATTGACCTAGTGTTAAGCATAGCGAAGTTATGCCCCCTTATCTTTTTACGTGTATGACCACTCTGTCGTCGTTTGACGTCATAGAAGAAAATCCATTTTTGACATTTGTTGCGAGTCATTTTTAATGTTGAGCATATAACGTTATGCATAAGCACATAAATCCACTTCATATACACTTATGTCGTTCAGATATCTGGCTGTATTTCCTTTCGCTCATGTCTTCTTTATTTCCGTAAAGATGCCAAATTAAATAATTTGTAGCACAGTGTTTTTATCAGTGCACGATAAAAAGCGGAGTAATTTACTGTTTTTTAACTCGTAACAAAATTTTGGACAACATTTATCAGTGTCTATTTCTCAAACCGCCGAGGTAGTTGCACTTTATTTATACCAACGGATAGAAAATTTAATATATTACATTTCTGTGAAATTTGATAGCTGTACGCAGATCCAGGACCACGCGAGCGCAATTCTAGCACAACGTTCACTTTTCAAACCTTATGAAATTGGGCGCTTGAAAAAACCCTCGGCATCCAGGGGGTTAAAGTGCCATTTAAGTATGGTTTTGATGAGCTGTCAGCCAATCAGAACCGAGTATCACACAATGTCATGCTGGAATAAACATCAAAGGACAAACCACAGAAATGGGATCCAAATCAATCTCAGGTCTGAAAACACCTGCACTGCTGGAATACTTTATTAAAATCAGACCAGAACCATCACAGCTGCTTCCAAAGAAGAGCAACTGATAGTCATCCGCTGTTCTTTTCATCTGGTTATTAAGGTTGAAGAAATTGATGAACACATGCCCTTTGGTATGTGTATATTCATATAATCATTGTTTCAAAGTTTATATCCAATATCCTACCAGATATTAGCTGAGTCTCAAGCCCAGTTGTATCCACCATCAGTGAATGAGACCAAGGTGGCAATGGTTGAAGCCACAGATCAGTGCTGATTCAAATGTTTTAATATCTATGTAGTCAAGGGTCACTCAATGATGTCATTTCACACATCCATGTCAGCTGGGAGTGAAGCCTCGGCTTTATGTTTCCTGATGCCATCACTGAGGCAAAACACACCTGTAAGTGCCACAGAATTTATTCAGACAGCAGTGTATGCATGGGTTGTTTCACGTCATGGATGTCTGTACATTTATTCATGTCTCAATATATTCTGATTAATCAATTAGTGTTTTTTACTTGTATGAACAATTAATTACTAGTAATGCTATGTGTGTCCTAGATTCTTCAAGAGCATCAAGGATTGATGAAGTAGAGGAAAAGGACGAAAGTGAATCAGAATTGGAGAAATCATCCTTGCATAAGCGAGATTCAACAAAGTCAGTGCAGTCCAATACGTCATGGGAGGAAGGCTCATCAATGCTGGAGCCTCGCAAAACTGCATCAAGAGTCTCCTTCAAGAAGGATGAGGAGCTGTCTGAAATACATGACATGGTAAGATTTGAAAGCATCATATTCATTACTTCCATTTATTTCTGTATTTATTCCAGATGATGAGTGGAGTAACTGTACCCGTAAAGTGATGAAATAACATAGGAGCACAATTAACAAGGGAAACAAGTAGTTAGTTGGCACTGTTTGATTATTACAATTGGACAAATGGAAGCTATGAGTAAATCCATGTGTAATTAGAACTGATAGATAATCGACAAGGAAGTCCACATCATATTCACCATGACTGCGGTTGTGAAAAGTGTTTTGTGTCAAATTATAATCAGTTGGCAGTGTTGCCACAGACAAAGACAGCTTCATGCACAGATGAAGACTGTCATAACTTCATGGTTAATTTGCAACCCATGCAGTGTTTAAACAAAAATTCAGATCACAATCCAAAACGATAAACCTGTTTTATTATTTATCATTTTTTTCATGCAGTGAAATACAAAAGCAAACATTTCTCCCTTTAAATCAAGATGTACTTCAAATCATAAGCTCCCTTCAAGATTTGTTTGTGGTTTCCACCTCACTCTCCCATATATCAGCTACTCCATTACTGGTGGTAATGATGTGTTTGAACAAAGCTGCAGAAGGTGATTCAGAGTAAGCGGCTCAGTCATTTACACTATCAGACACAACAGTTGATGACAGATGACAGATTCAACCTCGCAAAATAATTTGTTGAGACCTTCATCACTGAGGCCATTATGTTTGATAAGTAGAGCAGGCAGAACAAGGTATTGATGTTAGCTTCAAATTTGCAAGTCAAGCCTGTTCACCTCACCTCACCCATCACAAAAAGCACAATGTATATGTTCTTTATTGTTGGCTGTCCACAGATAGGGCATTGTGCCATATCCAACCAATAACGCATCATCAAAATGATATAATTTACACTTGAAGTTTTCAAACTCTTAGGAGATTAAGCATTAGTCAACCATGAGTAGTTTCAAGCAATGGCAATTTCTCAAGCCAAGCAGACTATTTCTGGGCAATGTCTTGTTCAGCATTGTTATCAGCTATTCATTGACTTCATATCTCACCTGACAAATGTACATTCATTTAATACACTTGAGGGGGTTTTGTTCGGTCCATAAAAAACATAAGAATGTAAATAACTATCGTCCCCCGGTCCATTTTGTACTCTGTACATTCTAATTCTAAGCTTGTCAAGTTGTCAGTAAGTACTGTGTGATGATGAATGTATCAAACTATCCTCTCTGCAGTAAGTATTTGATTATCAGGCACCGCTTCTGCATGTCCGCTTTCTAATAAGTCTCTTATTCCATCCAGATGTCTGTCATACAAGTTCTAGTCCTTTGAATTTCTCATGTACAGAGTTTTCACAATCTTGCTTCTGCAAAGGCACTCTTGATTTTCAGGCTTGAATGGAATGTCCATCTTGTAATGTCTATGATCAGTTTCATGCTGACAGCTCTCTTATCATTCATGGGATGTCGATAGACTTCACTATTCACATCCCATGAATCCATTTTCCCTAACTTCTCCACGGGAGACTGTAACTCACAATCTTCTTGTACTGTACAGCCCAGCCTAACATAGTTCTTGAGGCATATGGTTCATCCAAATCCCCTCTGCAAATGTCAGTCGGTACCAGCACTGATAGGTTATAAGATCCCGCTTATTCCCCTTGAATCTGAGATGGACATAGCAAATGAACTCAACAATTACTAATTTACAATCGGGATTCAAACCTGGGGACTCTACAGCAGATCGACTAACAAACTTATATAACTTTGAGTCTAAAGCCCTTGATGAAGGAAAAGAAGTAAGAGCAGTATTCTGTGCTATAAGTAAAGCCTTCGATAGGGTATGGCACAAAGGTCTAATATCTAAATTGAAACAATGTGGTATCAGGGAAAATTTGCTAGCCTGGTTTCACAGCTACTTAATAGATAGACAGCAATCAGTCGTGATCAACGGTTATTCGTCTAACAGCCAACCTGTCCGTGCGGGAGTTCCTCAAGGATCTGTCTTGGGGCCGCTACTGTTCCTCATCTATATAACTGATTTAACGGAAGGTATATCAAGTAAGTAGTAGAGGTAATGATTGTCCTGGACCAAGTCCAACAAAAGCCTCTGCAAAGCCTTATTCCCCAAATAAGGCTTTGGTCGGACCCTTAGCTTTTGCTGCCATTACCCCTACTATGAAAAAGTTTGGGACGCTAGCGGGATACGAACTCCACATGTTTACCTCACAACCGCGCCACTTAACCGACTGAGCTACCGGGGACTTGGCTGAAGTATCTCGGTTTAACGGGTCTATCCTGGGATTGCATCATCGTGCCGCTATGCCGTGTTGACAGGAGGTAACACTGTGTCGTACGGTACGATCAATAATTCTTCTCTTACAAATCCTCTGCCTGGCCCATCCCTCAAGTAGTACAAGTTCGGCTCGTCTACTTTCATGTCCACTTTATCTATGTTGTAAGTTTTGACTGACCATATAGGATCGGTGGCTCGCTTACGGCTATCACCCTCGTGTTCCCCCGGCTGGTATAGATATCTCACTAGGGCCCTATCTGGTATCTGCTTCTCCTTCCCACGCAATGGAGCGGCCGACTCTGACACTATCGATTTTAGTTTGATAGCGTCTGCCGGTTTCTTGCCGGTGAGACGGGTGACTTCATGGTTGATTGCCGACACCACCTTAGGTAACCTTGTGACCCATTCAGTCGATCGTTTTCCCGGGGTGGCCATCTCCCTCGCATACTGATGTTCGAATAAGCTCAGCCAAAGTCCTATTGAATCTCTCAACTATGGCTTGGCTGCGATGGGCTCCAGCCGTGCCACGCCTGACCTTTGTATCGTGTTTGGCTAGCAGTTGTGACACGGCACCCATGAACTCCCGCCGGGGTCAACTTGCAGCTCTGTTGGCACGTTAGCGGACTGCGCGTTTGTATATGCGTTCGAATCCTCTGGCTACCTGGACCGAATCTTTCGTGGTCAAGGGCTCGGCTTCCTTGTAGCGACTGGCTACGTCCACTCTGGTTAAGGCATACTTGTACCTCTTGTCGTGGGGTAGGAACAGTAGGTCTGCCTGGTGAGCGCTATTAGGTATGTTAATACCGAACTTCCTTCTAGGCACGAAGCGTGGTGGCGGCAAATAGATCTGCCACAGGGCTTGTTTTCAAGCCACGCTTTGTCTCTCCTCGCGGTACTTTCGCGCCATTTTAGCTAACTTATCTACAGCTAGCTCCTTTCCAGTACCCGCGGGCTATAGTAAATAGCCTCAAACTTTCTCTGGTTCCGTGACATGTTCAATTTTCTCATGTCCATACGCGTGCGCGATGTTTATCCCATCAATAGCTATCCAACGTTTAGTATCCATAGGCGACAGGGGCGTCTTGTTTATTGTCAGTCCGTATATCTTATGGCCATCACTTCTAAGTGTGTTCATTTTATGTCTAAAGGTACGGGTCTTGAACAGGGCTTCCTTGAATCTGGCGTGTTTGATGTGTTGTTTCACCACGTACTTCTTAACGCCCTTAGCCTTCCGGATCTCACTATTGTCGGCCTTCAGGATGGAGTACATCTTAGGTCTCAAACCTATGTACTCGGCTATGGGTGTGCCGGCACACTCGTCCTTCATCTTACCTAGGACCTTTTTATTTACCGTGCTGTGTATGGCATGGTCCTTGGGGTAGTCGCTGGTGTCATTACAAATCGAGGTGTTTTTCATGTCCTCATTACCGTCCTCGGTTCGAATCTCCATCAGCAGGGAATCCGTGTCAGTGTACAGCACTTCGCACCTGTCGTCGTACTGTTTCTTAAGCTCGTTGTAGTAAAAGTCGTACATCAGGTGTTTGGATAAATCGAGGATGCTCATCCCCACGTAAACAGGTCGGTTGAATTTTATGTGACTTTTCTTCATGTGTAAGGCAACTAGGTCATCGGTGAATATCTTGCTACGGTTGAATGCCGGACTGGCTATCAGTCTTCTGAGCTTGTCTTCCTCATTCGACCGAACCAGCTTCACGGTCAGGCGTTTCCTCAGGTTCTCCATAGTCTTACCGAACACCGAGTTGTTCATGAGCTTGTAGAGATTTTTCTCAAAGTCACTGGTGGCAAGCTTTCGGAGGTCTGTATTCATTCTGATGTAAGGCTCCATCCATGGGCTCTGGTTGAACATGAGCACCCTGTGTATTTTGGTTAGCCTCATACCCAACGACAGGTACAGCTGTAGGTTGCGATAGTGAACGATGTACTTGGTCTTATTCATTAAGTTAGGCGCGAGTTTTCAAGCGTCCGTCACCGCCCACCTAACAAGTTATGTTGGTACTCAGACATCCAGTCTGGGTTAACCCTCATACGTTAGGGGCCAGGGGTAGCTGTTGTGTGATGATGTGTGTAATGCCTTGGGATACTCCAAGTCAACCTCGAGGATATAACCTTTGTTCGAATCGGTAGCGATGCTCATAACATCGACCTCATGTACGCCCATTCGAATCCCCTGTGGGTAGATACTGGCTCATGGCCCAGCCGTACAGGTTGTTGGCGTCGAGGTAGAGAATGTGATTGGTTGGCTTGCTAGGGTCGTAGCCCTTCGCGTATTGATTATTTGCTTTTCGTGTATCGTTTGGTTGCCATGGAGATCCCACCTGCGCAAGCCTTTCTCAATGAATAGGTGCATGTCATAATCTGTAAGCAATTCCAACTTAACTCCGGTCTTTTAAGCAAGGCATCCCACGACAGACCTGGGCTGGTGTAATACCATCGCGCGGGTCGAGTTTATACTGCTTGAAACATGTCCGCCTAAGCGTCTCAAACCGCGTCGGCTAACAGCAGTACATCCGTCCTCAAGTACAGATCGTGATAGTCACCCAGGTTTTTACAACCTAGTTTATTCCATACATTAATAGCGTGTGAGTAATCGTCTTGGGATATTTCCGAGTCGGTCAGATTGCTGTAAAATTCTCTGATGGGGGGTAGTCTGGTCTCGGTGAACTTGGGCCAACTATCCATGTACTCATAGG